CGTGTCAGCCAGTTTCCAAGGGGATTCATGACCCCAACCTGATTGGGGACACACACCTGACATGGATTAGGAATGGACTGAGGGGTGGCTGGGTGGACTGAGGTCACATGGTGGGACCCGAGTCTGGCTGGTCCTAGGGAGATGTGTCTGGTCAGCAGCAGGACTTCTGGGCCGAGGCGGGGACGCAGCAGGCCACGCGGGAGCACGCGGGGCGGCAGAGCAGGGACACGCAGGAGGCCGGGCGGCAGCGGCCGGGCTGGCAGGAGGCGGCGGGGGCACAGCAGGAGGAGGCGGGCACGCAGCAGGCGGGCCTGCACACGGGGCGGCAGACGAGGGACACGCAGGAGGAGGGTCTGCAGCAGGACGAGGGGCAGGGGCTGGGCTGGCAGCACGAGGGGGCTGGGCAGGGGGCGGCCCTGGAGCAGACGGACACACAGCACACGGGCTTGGAGCAGACGGGTGTGCAGCTGATGGGTGTGCAGCAGACGGGTGTGCAGCTGACGGGTGTGCAGCAGACGGGCTTGCAGCTGATGGGCTTGCAGCTGACGGGTGTGCAGCTGACGGGCACACAGCAGGCCGGCTGGCAGGGGGAGGAGGCGCAGCAGGAGAGCTGGCAACTAGACTGCTGGCAGCACGAGGGCGTGCAGGAGCTGCCGCAGGCTGCTTGGCAGGGGCTGAGCCCACAGGCCGCCTGGCAGCAGGGGCTGGACACGCAGCTCACTGGGGTGCAGACGAGGGTCAGACTGGGGGCCGGGGTGCAGCAGCTGGGGACACAGCAGGAGGGCTGGCAGCAGGTCTCTGGGGACAGAGCAGGAGGGCTGGCAGCAGGAGGGGGCACAGCAGGAGGGGGCACAGCAGGAGGGCTCGCAGCAGCTCTCTGGGCACTCGTCCACCTGCCAAGAGGAGTCAGTGCAGGAGTCGCAGGCACCGGGCAGGCAGACGCGGCCGGCATAGCTGAGGTCGTTGGAGCAGACGGACAGGGTGGAGGCGGCCATGGCGGGTGGGGGCTGGAGGAGGTTGTGTGAGTGTGTGTGTATGTGTGAGTGTGAGGTGCTCGGTCCCTTGGGCTTTATATCCCTCCTGATGTGCGTGTGGCCCCAGCAGAAGGCTCCCCACGCCCTCCCTTCCTTGTTGATGTTTAGAGCCGGTTGCAGAACCCTCATTAGTGCTGGTTTATTTTCTATAATTAGTTTTTACTCATAAAACTTGTGAGTATGTTGCAGGACTCTGTTTTCCCATCTGTTCTTTTTTTGGCTCCAGAAAAATATACG